TCAAAATTTATCTCCCTATTTATTTGCACTGTCCTAAGGACAACTTTTCATTCACCCAATAGTGCAATGTGGTTTCTACTAGTTGTTAAAGCCACAGCCCTTTCGAATATTTATGGAATAACAACAGATTTTAACATATCAATTGGTCAGATTGAAAAGTAAATGAAGTAGGAAGTAAAAATTTTCACAATAATAAATCAAAACTCATTCTAAATATATCCACATACTACTACTTCATCACAAGCAAAAAGGTACAAATGATCTACTCACAGTGCATTAAGAAAACACAATAATCCATTATCTTATAATAAAGCAAATTTATACACAATAAGCTTAAACTAATATAAGACCAATTCAAAATGAATACTTATCTTTCTCCTAGAGAGAAGAAGTAAGAAATCCTCCCCAAATGATCAACATGTGTTCCTTGCACTACTTACAGCAATCCTTTACAATATCCTGACAATTTTCTCCAAGAAAAATGCAAAAAATACAAAACCTCACTTTAAACTCTACTTTTCTGCACAGTTAGACTTTTTCCTTAGCTTCATAAATGATCATCCTCTCCAAATAAACTACTTCTCCCCGCTCATAACCTCCAATTTCGTGCATAACCGCTGCAGAAACTGCACAAGACAGTTTTGACGCCTAGGCGCCACTTTCCCGGTTAAGCCTGGAAAATCACTGGCGCCTATGCGTCAGTCTGTGGCGTCATGGTGCCACCTCTGATTTCGGGACACAATCTAGCGCCTAGGCGCCCATCTGCGGCGTCATGGAGTAGCGCCTAGGCGCCAACCTGCTATTTACTCTGCTGCTCCATGTACCTCATTTTCGCTCCATTTTCGCTCCTATTTGCTCCAAAATCTCCTACCTTTTATACCTGCAACTAAAACATGCAAATATATTCCTTTAAAGTGCAATTTCATCAAAAATAGGTGTTAAATATAAAAGAAAATTTAGCATGCTTCCAGACATGTCACCTTGCCAGGGAAGTCACTACTTGCAATAGTCTCCAGCTCATCATTACTACTACAGGAGCAGAGAATGCATGTCTAGCGATTGAAATCAACAGAAATTAGTAGATGGTTGGTTGAATGCAATGAAGAAAGAATGAAATGCACTATGATAGTCTTGATGTGGATGAGAAATGAAGCACATAGATATCAACTCAGCAAATTCAGTTGGCGGTAGCATAAAAGTATTAAGAAGCACTGGCAAAAGCAAAGCAAGGGGAAGAAAACATTGGATGTCAAGGAAGACTAAAGGGCAGATTTCATTTGGCAAGCAAATATTGTCAGCAGAATCACTATAGATGGTTGCATAAGCCTGAAAGGCACTTAAGAAGGTGAGGGCAGTGGTGGCATCCAACAAAAACTAGCCTAATTGCAAGCTATAACTCCTCTCCTTCTCTCAACTCTTCATGTCTCTTTCTACCTCCCTCTCTCTCTCTCTCTCTCTCTCTCTCTCTCTCTCTCTCTCTCTCTCTCTCTCTCTCTCTCTCTCTCTCTCTCTCTCTCTCTCTCTCACTCTTTCTCTAACTCAAGCAACAAGGTAGTCTGTCAGTTAGTCCGCCAGACAAAAAATTAGCCGGTTCATCTTTCACATGTCTTACGTAGCATTTTTTACAAAATTACAATTAGAAAATTTTCCTGTGGAATAAACCACCGGTTAGTCCGCCGGTTACCTGTTATATATCAAAACGGACGACATAAAATCTCATTTCTCCTTATTTCTCGTTGCGCATCTCTTTCAACCGAAGACATTCGCTCTGCTTTAGCAACTCGATTCTTCCATTTAAAGCATTATTCTCCTCATTTTCTTCGTGTAATCAAATAAAAAACTCATTCATTATCTTCTAGAATTATTAATTTGATATTTCATCCATTAAATCTCATGTTTCGCCAACTTGAAATTTAAAAAAAAATGAGTTTTTGAATAGTATTGAGTATTTCATGCAAGTAAATACTCAGTTTTTTATTTATATTTTATAGTAAAAGTTTTGATGTCCGTGAGTGAGACATAAGAAACAAGCATACTTGACGCCAGACAAGGTCAAGTTAGATTTATATCGTAGGGGATTTCAACTGAATTTCTAGTTCTGTACTTCACACAATAAATATGAACCATATATTGATTCCAGGCTCATGCTTCGATGAGCTATGCTCCTTTAAACGATATAATTCTTAAACGTACAGGAGATAATGTTCGATGCAACAAGAGCTCATTTTGTTGGGCAGGTGGTGAATGAGCCACTAAAAAGAAAAGCTCAAAAGTTTAGCAAATTATTGAATGCAGCGCAATGGCCGTTAAAGAAAAGTTGCACGAGCTATTTTAAATTATCCACGGTTGTTAGAATGTTGGACATCAAAATCAGATAGAATATATTACGAGAATGTTTCGATCAATTTATATTACTAAAGGAGACTAACCCAAAGAAAAACTTGATTCTAGAGATTTTATAAAAAAACCAAGAATATTGTCAAAATCAGATTTGATCAAACATAAATTAGATTATCATATGAATGGTTGTAAAATAAACTACAATAGTGATGCAATAGAGACTGAATTTTGATTTTGAGAAGCACTAAAATTCAAACCATAGAGCATAAGAAATTGAAAATAAAAGAAAATTTTGTACAAGTTTTTCTTCAACTTCCCACTCATTCTACGACTTCAAATTTTATACACATCTATGCAAACTGCTAAGTATGTGAGATTGCCCCAAAAAAGTTCAGGTGAAATAATTTTTTGGAGTTATCCATCAGACAAAAAAGGATTAAAATATTTCAATCGTACTTATCTTAATTTCGCAGCTAATTTACGTAATGTCTGACTTGCTTTGTGTCCATGATTTCATATTATATAATTATGTTGTCTCACTTTAGACTTATTAGTCTGCAATAGTTACACTGTAAATTACTATAGAAGATGTACATGACAACACATTTTATATTTCTCACACTGAAAAAGAAAATATTAATACATATTTGCAATCTTTAATAAAAGAGCTACAAATCTTATGGTATAACAGTGTGGTTATTTATGATATCGGTATAAAACAAAACTATCAAATAAATGTAGCCCTTAAATAGAAGAAAAGCAATTTTTTACATATAAAAAGCTATCGAGGTGGAGCACTAGTAGAAAGTTAAATTATCCCTATTGCATGGATCTATCGGAGATATTTACATTATAAAATGTTTTAAAAAAAAATTCATAATTTGACTGTCATCACATTTTTCAATCCAATGCTAACTTATTAAAAAGAAACAAAAATGACTTCATCAAAAATGGAGTCAAATAATTCAGGCCTTCGCCGAGGTTAATAGGAGATGAGATTTAACAAATTAGTAGTGCAACTCCAAAGATTATTAATTTTCTAATATTATTTTCATATTGCCTCCTTAAATTTGGTGCAAATCATAACTAAATATGAGGAATATTATTTGGAATCTATCTTATTGGAAGACAAATTTAATTAAATGTTATCTTAATATCATGCACATTACAAAAAGTTTTTTGTTAATATATTGAACACTTTTTTTGTTAATATATTGAACACTATGATAGATGTTAAGGGCAACATGAAGTCTAAATTAGACTTAAAAGGAATACTATAGAAGAAATGTATTAGAGATCTAAGACATAGTTGGTGGTAAAGTTTTAATGTCTAATGTTAAGTATTGTTTTAAATTAGATCAATGAAAATAATTTGCGAGTAGCAACAATTTCTGAAGTTTCATAATGGATATGTATCTAATTTGAGTTGATATTTTGATTTAAAGCAGGAAAAATATTCAGAATAAAAAGTTATGACTATCATATTTTCTTGCAATGTTTCTTGCATCTGAATTCAACTCTTTGTTTAATCAGAAATGTGATCCCTTAATTGAAAGTAGTATAATCTTTAACGAATTAAGAGCAGCTTGTTTGATTGTTGATGTTATAAGCTAAGTTGAGTAAACATTCCATTGATATTGTTCAAGCATAAAAGAATATTTCCACTTTTTTTTTACTCGATTGAGCATCCATTAATACATCTACCTACATAAGTATTGTAGTTAGTTTTGTTGTACTTGGTTATAGTTTTTATAGTTATTTGATAGTTATATATAAATTAGGATAACATAAATTAGAATTTGTCTTTCAAAAAATATGGTATGACCATCGTGGGAATAATAGCCTACTCAACTTTATAATACCTTTCAGCACGTGCACTTGCATCCATCGCTATATAGCATATCAATAGACAAAAATTACTAATCCATAAGAGTGTTTTTAACAATCCTTAGTTACAATTGCTTAGATCTCACCTATGATATTTTACCTTCAACATGTATATCTTACTCCATCAAGTCATATACCATTTATTGATTACTCAGGTTATTTTAGGAAGACCTAGCATGTACTATCCAAAATTCCCTACATTTCACCTATACACTAGAAGGTCCCCCTGATTAGGATTAACATGAACTAGTTTTAAGCATAACCGTTGCTACAACTTGGTGTTATGAGGTTAATGTACAGTTAGAACAAGGAATCCAATGAATTTTAAGATTATAATTTTGTTCTTCACTCATCTGCTTGAAATTTGATAGAATTACATGTGAAATTTGAGGCCTCCAAAGATTAATTGATTACATAATCACAACTTATGATTTCATCACTAGGCTAAAGAAAGAAATTAACACAGACCTGCTAGTCACCGGTCTATATATTGTTATATGTTTCTTAAACTAATATTCCAAGTTGAAGGATCTAGAAACAACAGAGACTTTCATACTCTATTTCACCACGTTTACAGTGTAGGAGACGAATGTTTTGGCATGAAAGACATGATGATTAAAAGCAAAAGAAAAAAACAATTGACAATCATTTTCAAGTAGTGTTGGCATCTTTTTCTGGCTTGCTAACAGAAACATGTTGTAGTAACACAAAACTAAAACAGTTTCCCAAAATTTAAAAGACAATTAAAGATGACCAGCAACAAATATACATACTTTGATTTACAATCAGCGCATTCTTTGTTCTCCGGCAATCTAAGAAGGCCCTCTATGATCTGAAAAATGATGATTCAAAATAATGGATCACTATAAGTACCATGAGTAATCCAAGCTGATATATATCTCATAATTTGTTTTGGGATTAAAACAAATTGTGAAATAATATAATAGAAAAATTAAATATAAAATATATTTTATAATCTTTATAAAGTATTACAAACCTATAGTATTAAAATCAAATATCAAAATATTATGTAAAGTTTTAATACCAAAAGTTAGATAAGTCAGCCATAAGAAAATTGACTTTAAAAGATATTAATATTGATCACTTTGCAATGCATCTCTCAAGAATAATTTGAAAATAATTTATCAATTTTATTTCACATTGTGTAGCCACTATTCTTTGGCTCCATTTAAAAGTTGTATTCACCTATTTTTGAGTTTTAACCATTGTTTAATTCAGATGAGATATTTATTTACTTTTTCTAAAAAAATTAAATTTTAAAATATAAGCCAAACATGATTTCAAAGCGAAGCATTTTCATGGCCTGTCCTTTTTTTTATTATTTTTTTTTAATTTACATTATTTTTGCCACACAAAAGGAGATGTACTGATAGAGAAAGACAAAATTAGAACTCAGGACTGTGGTAATAGTTCACACACAAATTCTTTTAAAATATGGTCGGCTATGTAGAAAATGATCTACTCTCAATGCAAGAATTTTTTATGTTAATAACTTCACAGCATAAGATCAAAATCGAAAATTACTTTGTGATCTAAACTGATCAACTTCTATGAAGATTTGATCATTTGATCTAATTTGAAATAAAGTGGCTTATTTTTCTTTGAAATGAGACCAAATAAATTTATTCTAAATCTCTTTATGTACATGCTCGAAAAATTTTATTTGATTTTGGCATAAGTACACTATAAAATTAATTAATCATTTATCTCTCTATCTAGATTGTCAATTAAAGTGCCTTTTTGACTGATATCTGCATGATTAAATCTCATAATGATTATGGTCATAATATATTTTATGCCGAAGTTTTGAGTAAATGGTCTTGATTTGTCAAGTGTTCCATGCTTAAGAAATACGGCAAAAAAAATTTGCAAAGAAACATCTTTATTTTCAAAAAGTACAGTACACACATTACTCAATACCTCTATGCATCCCAAAAAGAATCCATGAGACCTAAGACAAATCATTTATGTAATGGAATTTACTAATTCCGAACAAGAAGTTTACTCTTCTTACTTTCACTCTCTCGTCCGATTATGGAATTCGTAATCAATGAAATCAAAAAGAAAAAAAATGAAACTCGTGATTTGAGTTGTAGATCAATAATCAATCCTGGTAGAAGGTTCCCACAAACCAATTGAATGAAAAAACAATAAAAGCTAAATTAGTAGTGGTACTATAAAGGTACCAATTTGAGTTAAACTAATTGAAATTTGAGTAAATAAATTTAATTAAAATAGAAATAAATTTAGAATTAAAGTTAATATCATTTGTGATCATGCCATAAATAAATTAGTTGAGTATTAAATAAAAAATATATATAAAATTGCATGCAATATGATTAAATTTGAATTTAAATTTTAAAGTAACCGCTTATATATAATAAGAATTAAGTGTTGCATAAAATACATGTTGGTTCGTCAATTGAACCCAATTTAAAATGGCATGCATAATGTGCTAGTTAAGAATTAAACAAAATATTTGTACTTCTTAAATTAAAAATTGTCTCATGTGTCAATATTTAAAAATAACATGTGTGATACGATTGTTCAATATTAAATTAAAGGAAATTTATATACCACACAATTCTTATGTATTTACATATCTAACACCCAAAGTTTGATATTTACACTTCTAACACCTTGGTGGTGTCGTAAACTTATGCATAAAAAGGTATATTTCACTTTCGAAATAGCAGTGATAGCGGTATGTTTTATGTGATTTTAAATATTTGAGCGGTATGCATGTAAATATGAATGTCTAAGAGTTAGATATTTAAATAAATAAAACTTTTGTAAGTAAATGCACCTAAATTAAATAGTTATAGATTTCAAAATTATAATTATATTATGTATCATACAATAGCTATTAATTCTATTTGAATTCATATTCAAATGACTTTTTAGCGGTCATAAAATGTATCAAATGCAACTCACTAGAATCATGTGTATTTATTTAAATTGTGTGGTTGTGCATCAATCATTTGAAAGCATGAAACAATGTGCCAGTTTTTTTTATCTTTTTTTCTGTAAAGCAAAGCCACATTTTGCAATTACTTTTGTTCAATTTTAAAATAAAAAATTATAAAATGAAATATTTTAATGAAAATTTATTTTAGGGTGTAAAATGGGGGTATATTCCAAATTGATCCAAAAATTAAAATGCAATGTCTAGAGAAAATGCTTAAATATAAGACTTTAGGCCTAAATGAAATACGTATTGAAATTGGAGAGCTATGATAGATATGATATTGACTTGGTCAACAAATATTTTCCATAAGAGTTTTGAAGACTAAAGAAAATATCAAATTTTTTGAGATGATGCATTTTAGTACTAATATTCAAGTACAAAAGATACTATAGCGAAATCAAATTTTTGAATCATACAATAAACTTATGGTTAGAATTAAATGAAAATATGACACTAAATAGGACGCAATGGAGAAAAAGGATTCATGTAGCCGACCCCACTTAGTGGGATAAAGGTTTTGTTGTTGTTGTTGTATACAATAAATTTATTGGAGAATGTAATAGAATATAGGCTTAAAAATTTTATCACAATTTCAGAGAATCAATTTAGTTTCATATTAACAAGATGTAACATGAAAGTGTCTCTTATGTCAGGATAATTGATGGAAAGGGAAGAAGATCGTAGAGAATCTTCATATATTGTATTGATCATGAGAAAGCATGTGATCCTGTAGTTTAATAAATAAATTGGTGTGCTAGAGCATCTCCACTTCCCACGCTTGATGATATAATCAAACCATCCATATGCCCTACACTGGGCATGAAAATAGAATAACACTAGCTAAGTTGATTTATTAGGATATGTCTAATACAACACTAAATAATATTAGAACTACTTGTGGAGTGACCAAAGAGTTCACAAATATATGAATATTTCATCAAGGATCATCTTTATCCATATCTCTTATACCGGTTATGGAGATACTTACTAAGGATATTCAAAATAAGGTGTCAATGTGTGCGATTTTTGCATAAAACATTATTTTTATTAGTAACACATCAATAATGAGAAGAATGCTTAAGTTTATAATCAACACAAATAGAAGATAAAGCAAAATGAGGGATAAGTTCAAGTATATTGGACCTATTACGTACGAGACTAGGAATATAGATGAGGATGATAAATTCTAGAACTAAGACTATGTGTTGAATAGAAGAAAAGCCTAAAGAGTGTAGAATATTTTATGATAGGAGAATATTGTGAAAACATAATGTGTACTTGGGGCAGCTTTATCAATGCTTTGTTTTTTCATACCGCTGTCATATTTCCACTTGATTACTACCATTTTATTCTTCTTTAGAAGTTTAAGTGATAAAAAGATATTTTTTACAAATAGCTCTAATAAAGTGTAATTGCTATAAGAAAATAGTTATCCAAATTTTTTAAAAAGATAATATCAATGATATGCATAAAAATTTTTAAAAAATATGATTTGCCAACAACAGTTTCACAATCACCTTTACAAATAAACTGCAACCAACCGAAGCGGACCCTTAAAAGTAAACTTTATAAAACCAAAATTGTCCATACCCAAAAGTGCAATGAAAAAAACTTAATGTGTGTGGAAAGAAAAACGATTTTATTTTTAAAAAATGTCTTTCATATTTTTCAAAGAGAGATTCTAACATTTGTATTTAGTAAGTATTTAGGAGTTACTCTTCAAAAGGAAACTATAATGGTATGAAGCAATCAGGAATCCAAGTGATTGAAACACTCCTCAAGCACAGAAGTAATGATACTTGAGTAGTACATTTCACACACTTATATCTCTCTTGCTCACATAAAGCTGATGATGCATAACAAATATCATAATGCTCGGAGTTCTTTAATATTTACATTGCTAATATTAGTTTTATAGTAATTACTTGGATGGTCAACTTTATAAATCAATACTTCAGACCATTCCTATTGATAGATCCATAGGGTGTAAAATTTATTTGATGCTTTCTTTTAGCATATATGCTACATTTGATCTGTCCTGGTGTCCTTCCTAATCATTCTAAGTAATTTTTATCTACTCCACTTGTTTATGCATCTCTACCTCTAGTTGTAAGCGCTACAACCAGCTAAACATATCTAATCTCAGTAAATGCTACTCTTGTCATATCTAATATAATAATTTTTCAATTTATTCTTTCAAGTTCTACCAAACATCCATCTAACATTCTCATTCACGTTGCTTAGTGAAAGAAAGAAACATCATAAAAACTGACATTTGGATCTGAGTTTGCTCTAATTAAGGAAAAAATGTGATTGAAAATCTAATATCAAAGTAACTTTTAATACCAAAGCATATATAGCTAGAATTCCTTTCGGTACCTCCACTTTATTTTCACCCGACATGGCTAAATATTGCTACCAAAAAAAGCAAATTGAAAAGGTCAATTGCACAAAAAGGCGACACATTATGAGTCAACAAGGAGACCATTTAAATAACTGATGTTCGAACCTAATGGACTTTGTTATTTCTTACAATGAAAACAAATCGATCACCCTTAGCATAGATAATCTTAGCAATCAAATTCAGGAATACCAAGAAAAACAAAGCTAAAAGATTAACAATCACATTCAGAAAAAACAGGTTGCAACCAAATTCTATAATTTTAAGACATAAAAACTCGGAAGATGAAACAACCGCAATCTTTCAATATCACCAATACAAGACAATAAAGCCTTCCATCTAAGCATAGAGCCATATGACGAGCACGAAACAGCATATAAGCAGGATTGCTTACCAATGATTAAATTCACCTCAGATCAAGATCAAGTAATCGTGATATATAAAAGTAAAGAGCACTAGAAGCAAAATTTCATCTTTCCATGCAATTCAATGAACGGAACCCTGAAAACTGCGTCCCCAATCAAATCAGTTGGAATCGAAGAAGAGGAAGACGATAACCAAGCGTACCTTCTTATGTTTGGCATCGAGCTCCTTGGATACGGAGGCCTTCTCATTCATGACCGGAGTCGATAAGCACCAAGGAGATCTTATTTCGGTGTAAATGTGAGGAAAAATTTCATGAAATGAGAAAATAAAAAAAATGAAACGCCCGTTCAGTTTTCCAGGCCACTTGGGCCATTTATACGCGGAAATTTATATAATGGCAAAATTTTGTGGCAAATCATCCAATCAGATAGTTCAGGCCTTGATTGTTATTTTATAGTGCCATTTTATGATATTATTATTCTATGACAAAAATTATTTGCACAGAAGAAATAGATAAAGCTAACCTTCTAAGCCACACAAAGGAACTAAAGTCCCCTCACGTATACTTAGAGGTGCAGATATCCGTACGTCACTTTGCTGTCACTCATTCTTCGTAATGAACCTGAGACTGCGGCATGGCACCTAGGAATACAGTGTTTTGATAGGTCTGCTCTATTTCCTTTCAAAATTAGCACTGAAATGTTAGAAACGGTGGAGCCCGGCCCACTATGCATAGGCGGTTACTTTGCTTTGGAGAGTCACACCTCTTCACAAATAATCACTCTTGTCTTCCTCTTTTTTGAAGTGAAGCATCTCTTCGCTTCCTTTTGTTCGTGATAAAAAGCTTCGGATGGCTCTTCTTGGGTTTAGTAATCACGCTTTGAGTTCTTCTTCGGTTTCCTCGGGATAGAGGAAGATTTCCTTGGGGCAAAGAAAGAGAAGTGCAAGGAGGAGTAGTTCCTTGCGGCAGAAGGAAGAAGAAGGAAGAAGAAGAAGATTGTTCTCCCTAGGTTTCTTCTTGGTGGCTTGTGGCAGAAGAGAAATTGGGTTTATTTCTCTTGTAAGTTTTTCTTCTTCAGTGTATCTCGGTATAGAGTTTTCTTCAGTGTATATAGGTATAGAGAAAGAAGGACAGAGATAGAAGAAGAGAGAGAGCAACGAAGTGAGAGTGAGAGATTCCTCTTGTAAGTCGAGGTGATTGAGTGGTGTAAATTCCTCAAGTAGTAAAATCCTCTGCAACTCCGTGGATGTAGGAAGTTTGCCGAACCACGCAAATATGTGTGTTCTGCTGTGTTGTTCATTTTTTGTGTGATATTTCTCGTTCTATTTTTCACTTCGTCGATCGTTCTCTGTTAGATTTATATATATACCACATCAACTGGTATATCTAGATCTCGCAACAACAACATGAAACAACTGGCAGCAAAATCTTAACCTATCCTCAAAATTCTCCAAGGCTGACAATATCTATCTCTTTCCCGAATAGAATGTTACTTTGGCTCATGAATGAAACTGTACAGAACAGTCTGACGAAGTCATGGTAATCAATGTGGGGAGGAATGCAATCTCTTTCTTCATAGATGTTGATGATGCAACTATTTGAAATACAATCTACCGGTAGAATACTCCACTCCATCATTCTCTTAATCATCTTCTTTATTGACATGGGATCCACCTCGTCATTTTTAAAATGCTCGGGGGGTTCCCTAGCCTGTCCTTTGCAAAATTATAGCAGCACCCACACTGGATGGTGATTCTACGTTTTCCACTCATCAATTTCTACAGCTAAGAATATGTCTTTCTCTTCAACAATCCAGCTCGACTTCTGTCCCTTGGATCGAATACACAGTCAAGGATCTTCCTCTCATCTCTTTCTGAAAATACTCCGGTGTGTAGTTTGAGCCCTTTCAATATATTGATAAACTTTCCTTGAATCTCTTCATAATACTCAAATTCACGTTTCTGGACCCTGCGCATCTTTTCAAGCTCAAATATGGGAATCCTCTGCAAATGTCAAGGCCGCTCCTCAGACTTGACATCTGAACCAATCAATAACTATTGAAGCTCTGCAAACCTCGGTATATACGGCTCCACATATGGATGCTCTACACTCCTGAACACCATGGAGGCAATTTTATATTCCTCAAAAGTCCCATAACGCTCCAAGTGAAGAATGTTACACTCCAGACATTCTGTAAATGCTCTTGTTGATGGTTTATGTCTTCGTATCTCTGCATTGCACGTCTGGCATGTTGCACAAATGTATCGGGCATCTTTGATGGTGTAGACTCTATAATAAAACTCGGCTCTTCCTCTGTAACTGGAGGGCTAGTGGAAGTTTCCCTCAAAGCCGGGTCATAAACCTCTTCCTCATGAATTGGATTGAGCTTCGTGGCTGCTTCCTTGGAAAGTCTCCTTTCTAATCGTTTCAAGGCTCTGTGTTTGCGACGCTTGGCAATTCTGAGCTTGTCCTTCATAATGGCGCATCTAGAACTCTTTTTGTAGAAGCACCGTCTAAGTCTCCTATCGGTTTTGTAATCATTTACTTTATGTGCCCAACCCTTTCCATTTGGTCATGTGCAGCTGGAAATTTATTTGCCTTCTTCCTCTTCAACGTAGAGCCTTTTTTAGTGATGATCTGAAGCAACAACTGTATTCCTTCTGTTTCCCAACGGCTAACTATATTCATTAGGGGGCATTCTTAGTCCACATTGACTTGGCCATAATCCAAGTCAAAATTTATAATGTCGCCCCGGGCTGCATTCTCTTTGTCAAGTGCGAGATTCAAGTCATCATTAAAGGAGAAGATCAGCTTCTGTCCCAAAATTTTCCTGAAGAAAATAGGAAAATATCAACGCACTGAAATTCAAAAACAAACAAGAACAATAACAATTAATATTAAGTATTTTAAGTTAGACATTTGCAAGCATTTTATCTAATTTAACTTTACAAGGTTTAAAATTTAACCAGAAAATTTAGATGTGCAAATTTAAATTTTATTTTATTAAAATTAACTTTATTACAATTCTTTGGACCAATTCACAGATATTGGCCACATAGTCATTCTCGGAAAAAGTATCACTTTCAAAATTCATCTCGGAGAACATCATGTTGCATAGTATTTCTTTAAGTATTGTCAATTTATCAGCAACATGGGCCTCTCGCCCTAAAAATCAACTAGTTGTTAAGATCCTCTTGAAATGACCTTCTCTACCACGAACAGTCCCTCCCAAGTGAGTTCAAACTTTCCATCTATCTTGCGGTGAGCAAGAGTAGGCGTTTTGAGGACAAGTACGAGATCACCAACGTTGAACGCCCTCAGGTAGACCAGTTTGATGTGTCCCTGGATCATCTTAGCCTAGTAAAGTTCTAATTTATGTTGCACTTGTAATTGCTTTCATTCAAGCTTCTCCAATTTCGTAAGTCTGGGCTTGGTGTTGTCTTCTATTGTAATATGGTTGGCGACGGTGATCTTGAGAGATGGTAGTTGAACATCTAATGAAAGATCTGCCTCAGACCCCTACACGGGTGTACATTGAGTAAGAGTTCTGAACATTGTCCAGTAGACCCACAATTCTTCTAAGAACTTTTTGTGACTACCTCTCATATTCTCGTCAAACGTTTTCCTTAAAATCTACACTAGTGTCTTGTTCAAAGCTTCAACTAGGCCATTCGCCCTGGGTAGTAGATCGTATAATATCGTCAATATATCTTATCGTTTAACAAGGTTGTTGATCTTGGTGCTTTTGAAGGCTAAACCATTTTCTGAAATAACTTTGTGTGGCACACCAAAATGGTAGTCGATCTGATTTCTAAAGAAGTGAAGAACATGTTGCATTGTAACTCTCATAATGACACTGTCTCTGCCCACTTAGAGAAGTAATTTGTGGCTGTGAGAATAAATCTATATTCGCTTAAAGATGGAGGATCTATCAGACCCATTGTGTCTGTACGATGAAACACCTAAAATATATAGTATTTTTAGACACATTTTTATACCTATTTTTGAGATATTGCGCTTTAATGGAAGATATTTGTGTGTTTTTCTTTCAGTTATAATAAGTAAAAATTTATGTACATCTAAAAAGGTAAAAATGATAAAATGAGTGAAAAAAGATCAAATTTAGAACAAAAATGCAAAAATGGTGCAAAAGTATTTTGGCGCTTAAGCGCCAGAACTGAGGCTTATGCGTCGGTGAAACAGAGAAGGCCGCGTCTAAGCGCCAGAGGCCCCATGCTTAAGCGCTAGTGACAGTTACTTGACAGGTTGATTCATTTTGATAAATTTTAAAGGGACATTTGAGGCACCTATTGGCTAAAATGGGTGCTTATAACCAACAACTTATAACCAACAAGGCTTATAACCAACAAGGACGAAAATATAATTAAAGGACTTGTGAAAGGAGGCATCGCTTGGTAAATTATCCGAATCAGGACACATTTTGAAGAAATACTAAGGCACCACTTGGAAAATTATAAAATAAGGAAATTGAGACTTTTAGAGAAGTCCTAAAAAAGAGTCCTGAAGTGTTCTAAAAAATTCTTGAAGAAGTTCGTGGAGAATCTTTTGGAGAAAATTTCAAAATTTCAGGCACCACATTTCAGGCACCACAAATTTATTTTTCCTTTTGTTTTTAGTTTTATTTTGAGAGTTAAGAGTGTTGTAAGAGTGAAGAGATCCAATGGAACTTCAAGAGTTTGGTGGAGGATTTGAAATAAGTTTTTATCTTTGTTTTAAACTACTTTTAGAAACTACTTTTAGTTAAACTACTTTTAGTTTTAATCGAGACTTCTTGTTGGTTTGACAATGATTTCTACTTTTAAAATAAAGTGTGGTTTTGTTTTCTTTATGGATTCTAAGTAGTTTTTTGTATCTTTCTCCTTAAAATGATAAGTAATTAAAGTGTTGGATGGAAGTTGTTGAGAGTATTAATCTTTAATGTTGGAAGAAGTTGTGATGATTTAATTCCATACACTTCATTTACTTCTTGATCTGGCCCATCTAGATGTTAAAATTTGTTAAGAGAACATGTAAGAACTGGGTTGGTATTGTCTCTGTCAACAATTGGAAAGAATCACATAAGATTGTATTGTGTG